TGAAGGACATGGTTGACCTTTGAGTTCAGTTCATTCCATTCAAATAAGGAAGTTTCCTTTTCATTTAAATATGAAAGGGAAAGGCTAAAATGATGTAAAATGCAGGGCAAACAAGAAAGAACTGAGAAAAGCAAAGTATGAGCAGAAATGACTGAATAAACAAATAACAAATTAGCAACTTGATAGATAAAAGCGATAACGAAATCGGAAAGAATTCGGTAAGCTGATGAGTAAATTAGTTTGAAATCCGGAAAGATGAATAAGTTACGCAGAAAGATGGTAGTGAACAAAATTAAGCATTATGAAGATACTATTTACGAATTCTCGTCTCTATCGATATATTCTGATTTCAGGAAAACTGTGTAATTGTCGGTTCTTCTGTAATCACAGAGGTAATACTAATAGTGATTAGTAATTGTTTAATTAGTTATTACTAATTTGAAATTGATTACTGATATTTTATAGAGCGAGAAATAACAGAAGAATAGAGTAAATTGGAAATGAAATTTCTATCAGATCAAATTATGAAAACAAAAAAGATGGGAGTGATAGCAGGGAGAGGGAGGGGAAGAGAGAGAGAGAGGGAGGGAGGGAGAGAGAGAGGGAGGGAGAGAAAAGAATATCGGATAAAATGTTCGATTCAGTGTTATGCAATCCGATCATATTGACCGCAATTTTGAAATTCCCATCGAGGTGTGATGACCGTCCGAGGCGTGTTATCGGGGTCGTGCTGTCTCGTTGTCACATCTCTTGACTCACAATTAATAGTTACCTGAGAGAGCAGAGAGCCCAGTTATTGCTTTACTGCTTGTGTTTGCAGGGAAGGAAGATGACTACTGATAGCACCTGGGTGGGTAGCACCTGGGTGGGTAGCACTGAGTGGGTAACACCTGAGTACAGCAACAAATTCAATGTGCGGTATTCATTCATAGCATTTCACGCTATATCTTATCACTATCTTATCACTGTTGCATTTATCAGTGTTTTTAATGAATTTTCCCATCGGAAAAGAAGCAACGCCCGTCAGAATAACTCTATTACTGATCAAACCACAGATAGTTATTTCTTATGGAACTCTTTACAACATCTCTTCTTATTGTTGTCATTGCTGCTAGAAGAATCAACAGAGTTCCTTTTGCAAAGAAAATCAGTAATGCATCATTTCTGGTGCAAACTGACTTTTATATTTTTAATTTTTGTAAAATCACATACTCACATCACATTACTTACTTATTACTCACGTGGATTGGGTTTAAGTAAGGATTAGATGCCCAATTTATATGCAACGCAGTTTTAGTCTCATCTTAATAATACAGATAAAAAACAGAAATCAAAAATTGTAGACTGAAAGGAGTGCACATATATACACATACAGACAGACAGACATACACACACACATAAATAAAATACGAATCCCGAAACCATGTACAATAGATGCTTCACAATGATCGAAAGTAATGATTAGACGTCCATGTGACGCATATCAGTACGTGTCTGTGTCTAAGACATGTATATCATACCATTGTGACACACACGCACACACATCACATACATACACAAAGAGGCATTCCAAAAGTGATAGACAGATAAAGGACAAAACGAGACAGACCGGACGGAATAATTATTTGCAAATGGGCGATGGGAAGGTTCCGTTCCGTGTTGCATGCATTAGCTAATCAGTGACAGTGAATTCTGTAGTGACACGGCGATGCGGTGGTTAGCTGTGTCTCATTAGCTTCATAAGATGTCGTTGTGGCTGGCGACAGCGTGACACTGCCGTCACCAGCATCTTCATCGTGTCACAGGGATGCGTGCTGTCCCCTTCGTCCTATGCTTGTTTGGAAGTTCGTTCGCTTCACTCTTGCCCAAATCAGTCCTTACTTATATGCATATACTTTAGAAGACTGAGTAAAGTTAGAGCTATAAAAAGTATATTTGAATGTGAATCTGTTACGACCACTAAAATCGAAAGCCATTCCTTTTCTTCCGCAAAAAAACTTTTTTCTGCTGTAATTCATAAGAATATTATGGATAAAAATAAATGATTGGTGGAGAGAATAAGGTGCGATGAAAGTTTTGAAAGGTAAATGAGAAATGCAAGAATGAAAAGACAAATTCTGCTAATTTTAAACAAATAATGGATGTTACTTCCTGACGAAAAAATCACATAAGTGCGGTCATTCAAAATCTGAGACTGTGTGAAAATTGAGGAGAGAGAAATAAAAGGGAAGAGAGGAAGGAGGAAAGGGAAACGGTAAGGAAGGGGCAGGTGAACCAGTTTTTATGTGATCGGCGAGCAATCACGATGACAAGCGGAAGAATGTGGCAAAGGGGTCATGCAGATAGTGATTTCCTTTTTGGAGAAGCGTTATCTATTAGTTTACACCCTGTATCCCATACCTTTTACCTTTTACCTCTTTATCCTTTGCCCTTTGCTCTCTACTTTTTTCAACATTTCCACTGAAGCCTCGTGGTTAGTCTAAACGAAACCTCTGAACTTCGACTGTATATGTTGAGTTGACAACCTCCAAGTATTATAAAGTAATGAAGAATTTACTTCAATTAATTAAATAATGAAGTTAATACAAATATTTGCAGCGAAGCGAGGAAAGCAAAAAGAGATGGAAGACATAGCTGAAGTGTTGTTGAGAATTTGCAAAAGTTAAGCAAATCAAATTGCTCACCTTTTTCCTTAACAAATGCACTATTGCAACAAGTACCGTCCTTTCGATATCATGACTCACCTATCTGAACGTCATTAACTAGTTTGCTGTTGGAGATTGCAGCTGCATTAAACTGTATGTGTGAAACACCTGTCATTGCTGTCCAGCTCGTGACAATTTCGTGAATAAGTTTTGCTTTTATGCTCGAATATTATCACAATGGACTGACAGATGAGTTATATTAGCGATGATAAAAGATAAGAATTAAAAAATTTTGGTAGAACAGACGAGAATTACAATTACAATTTGATTAATACTAGTGTCGTGTAATACTTATATAAGTATTGCTGATAACGTTCATTTCTTCATGTCTTATCAAAGTAACCTAAATGAAGGTTTTTGTCAATAATCAGTGATTGCTATGACTTCTCGTATCACTCACATCTGTGCATCATACTTGAGTATTTTCTCTGTATAACAACTGATAATGTTTACAGGTGCATCAGTAAGCCTTTATCATACGTTAATAGGAATTATCAGTTTATGATCTTTACGCTGAACATTACCTGATAGCTGATAGAAAAAAATCATAAATATGTTGGAAATTTTGTGAAATTTCTCGAATAACTCAAAGCTCTTTGGCTACTGTGGGAAATTTTACGTTCCAACGTTTATCACAGTCAAAAATTTCTTGAAAAAATACAGGTTGAAATAATTCCTAATTTACTGAACAGATAATTGCATAAATTGGAGTGAAAATGAAGAAAGCCACTTGCCTGCCATTTCTCTATATAATCTTTTGCATGAAACTCATTTCTTCATCTTATCAAGTAAGTAATTAATATTCTATTTTTTTACCCATTTTTTTACCAATTTATTTTACCCATTTTTTTCTTCTTTTTAAAATCACATTATTCGACGATAAATTAGAAATGAAAGCAAATTAATTTATCATTAACTGCTACGATATTTTGTGTTTTGGTAATTTTGAATTCTGTAATTGATGGTTATCAGCAATAATTTCAAATTTCAATAACAATTCGTTTTGTGAAATGAGAGGAAATTACGAGGGGAATTTAATACTAATACACTTTCTTACTCGATGTACTGTTAGATTTTCTCTTTTTAAAAAAATATTAAATGCACTAAAAAAATTTAATTACTGTAACCATTTTGACAATTTTTCTTCTCTCTCTCTCTCTCTCTCTTTTCCTCTCCTTTTCTTCTTCCTTTCGCTTTTTCTCAAAGAAGAAACAAATACTTGAAAATATTGACTTACCTTTCCCTCCACAATACTTTCAGCTTATAGCTAGTTGTATTCCTAGCTAGAATTGAAATGACAACTTCATCAGTTTCACTGCTAGGAAAAAAATAAAGGAAAGAAAGTGTACCTTCGAAAAAGAACTTGAAAGCATTTCATCTTTCGAACACAAATTCAAATTTCATCCCATAAATTCCATATATTTAACTACGTGGAAAAAATGGAAAATTTGTAAAGGATTTTTTCGTGTAAAATATTTGAGAAGAAAAATGTGTATTTTAATTTTGAATGCATCATTTATTTCTCGAAATGTAGATGTATTCATGGAAAAGATGTATTCCAGCATTATAATATGAATCAGAGGAGAATATTTTTAAAAACTGAATTTTTTGGAATTTTGCAATGTTTTGCCAGTGAGATACATATCAAATCAGTTAAAGCAGATCACTTTGTTTAAATACAATTAGATGAGTTAGACACTACCATATTTGGTCATTAATGTCACATTTGTGTCATAGAATATCCATCTGTAAAGCTTTCTTTTATTTTCAAGCTATTCACAATGTCGAACACTTCCATTTGGTAGGATTTTGTAATTATTAATTTCATTACAACTAATAAGAAAATGCTAAATGACAAGAAATGAATTAAGTGATAATTTGTAAGTATCGTAGCGAAGATGCAATCGCTGAGTTCAAAAAAGATGTACAGAATAAGACTAATTAGTATTAATTCCATCATTTGCTGTCAATCTGATGACTAAATAAAGTTAAGGCTATCGCCTCATTAATGCAACTAATATATGCACGGCCACCTGTTGCATTATATCAATTATAAATATAAAATAGTAAGCATACAAACTAAGGAAATGATAAATTTGTAAAAAAAATATTTAAGGTAATTAAAAAAAAGATTTGAAATTATCAGTTCTATTTATTTACAGTGTTTAAATGTGGACATTGTTGACCGATTTTTCGTTACGGTACTAATTATCAAAATATCTTTTTAATATTTTTAGCAAATTGAAAAAGCAATAATTTTAATGGATGGGAAAGGATTCAATTTTAGACTAAACTTCATTCAATATTGTTAGCCTTTTGCTTTTTGTTGCTTTTTTGTTTAACCGTGACGCCACGACCTTCAACACATTTGCGCCCCTTTTCACCATGTGCTTCTTTTGATAGTTGTAGTTTTTTGATTATTTCACTGCAACAAACTGAAATTTCACACATTTCATATGAATGAATTGCTTTTAAATAGAATAATGGATTAAAAATATCATTTCAACCATCAATCATTTGACTAACTGCGCTTGAAAGCCAAGTGTAGAACAAATATTGTTGCTGGATGAATATCCATTGTGATAAAGGATTATGTTTTCCGAAAATAAAACATAATAAATTTTACTGCAATAAAAAATATTTGTGTAATTAATTAATTAATTAATTAATCTGCACTCTATCGGTCGGTATCAATTGAAATTTAACTTTTTCGCGTCTATTTCTCTTTTTAGCCTTGTTTACCTTCACGTGCATTGTTGTAATTTAATCGAAAAGTAATGGAACTTCATAGGGCAATTCATGAAGGAAAATAAATGTTTTACCAGGTAAATATGACTCTGAGATGGTAAGATTGTATCGCATTGCTGCTGGCCAAGCATTGTTAAATAGAGCCAAGTTAATAGCAACTGAAGTTCTAAAGAGGTCAAATTCAAGTGGACAATTTTGAAATACTCGAAAATTTCTTACAAATGAAACAGTAAATAATGAAATATTCATTGTTATCTTTTGCGTGAAGTAAAAAAAACAAACGAAATTGTTTGTTTATAAATTATCCATAAATGTAAAGTGATAAACAAAAATTGCAATTACTATCAATCAATTTCGTTGATCTTACAGAAAGATAGGCGATCACAAGGACAGATAAACAGAAATAAAATGTCAACCGGAATGTTAAATGAAATTCATCCATTTCAGATCAAATTATACATTTGTTGTAAACAAAGGTGGCAACTTGTAATTCTGATTCCAGTAAAGTATACTTGGGTATACTGTTTAGTATTTAATATTTAATTGAAATAACTCCTTGGTCAAAAAAAAAATTTTCCAATTAAATGCTGAAATTAAAGTAAAAAGATCTGCAATAGATGAAAAGTATTTTTAATTTCTCTTTTCTAAACAACGACCAATACTTTCTCATCGATGCTTATGAAGTAGAGAAGTTGTATTTATTTAAATAAAAGGAAAAAGTTATCATTAAAGTGTTGATTCATATTTCACGTTGAATCTGACCTAATTAGTATGGCAATTTGTTTTCTTTAATGTCATTTATCTTGACCTGTGACCCGAAGAGAAAGAATCAAATAACCGCTTGAAACAAAAACTAAGAAGTTGAATAAAATTTCAATTGCAATACAAAAAAATTGCACTTCATTTCTTCATTCATTTCTCAACATTGAATTATATCTTGCTAAAAATTAAAAAACATAAATAACAGATGTAAATTTTATTAACAGATATAAAATATAAATTTAGAAAGAGAGAGGGAGAGGGAGAGAGAAAGAAAGGAAGAAGGAAGTGCAGTATGTACGAATATTCAAGTCTGAGTCGTTCGTTATCCATCCAAACTAAATCCGACGGTCACTAAAGTCAACAAAGTGAGTGGGACGACAGTCAAGGTGAGATGACCACTGTCCGCCCAACAACAATAGCAATCGGTTTGACGACACTGACTGCACAAGTGCTACTACCATCATTGGTCATTGCTGAATTTGGCAGAAATGAGCAAAGTTTACAGGGCGCAAAGTGCTTGCATAATTTAGTTCCATCAGCTAATCACCATTGTTGTTTATTATGATAATCAACAAGTACAACTGAATTTTATTGCAGAAAATGCGTAATCTTCTGAAGAACTGTTTGCTGCTTCTGTTTCTGCTAATCATTTCGATAACTGATGTCAAAGGAGGATTTCAAATTATTTGCGCAGATAAGTCACGGCATTGTAAACGGAGAAGTGACATGTGTCAAAGCAATGCATTTCACAGTGTCATGCAATCAGTTTGTAAAAAGTAAGTATATTTTATATCGATATCATTGCATCTTTCTATATATATCTTACTTCTGTCTGTTTAGCCGGATTATTTTTTCGGAACTAATTAGCATTCATACAGTAATGGATGAGAGATTATCTCTTCAATTTAAAAAAGCACTACGATTAATACTGGCTTATGTTTTCCTGATTATGTGAATGGTTTTGAACAGTAATCCGTAAATCAGAATCAGTTTGAAAGAAAGAAAAGCGATGAATTTAACATTTCACTTACTTGCCGGTTTATGAATCACTCAGTTTGTAGGACGTGCGGTCTATGTGAAGATAATCCGAAAAGTGACATCCTGGATCAGTACCGACATAAGAAAGAATCTGATATAGGTCTGTGATACTATCACTACTACTACTACTGCTACTCAACTAGTTCTAATTAAGCGATCGATTCATCTCGAACTTACTTTTTAAACTAATTAAGCACTTTGTTAATTGTTCTGAGATTATATATGTATGTATTGTCTTACAATAATATTACATTTACTTCAAAATTAGATTAGGAATTACGGGGAATGTCATAATTCATAGAACTGCAGTAGCAATAAAATGGAATGTTACGATATTTAGATCATTGCAGTAAGATCATATATTATATTTAAAATCATAAATGTGCATGAATCATCCGTAACAGTATGCTTGATTCTGGCCATCCGGTAAAAAGTTACTTTAGAAGTTGTTGATGTGGAAGATGGTGAAGATAAAGATAATTTCGAGTATTCTGAATTAGAAACAACTACTGATCAAGTGGAAGAAGAGGAAGAGGAAGAGGGAGAGGGAGAGGAAGAAATTATGGAAGAGTTAATGGCTACATTGTCATCCACAGTTATGCCACATTCCGTAACAAAAAACTGGAAACAAACTGTATGCGTTGATTCATCAACAGATTGTGAAGGTATTCGAATATAAGTATTCGAATTTAACAAGTATTTCTGTAAAATTTCAATGCATTCAAATTTATCGAATTCCATTGCACTGATTCTACTGCTTCATTGCTATCATATTTTGAGGTATGAAAATTCATCAAATAATTTAGGCAAACGATATTTGTGCAGCGAACGAATGTATGCACATCTGATGCGTAGAGAATGTCCGAGAACGTGCGGCTTATGTCACTCAGGTTTGAACGTCAGCAACGTCAGTTAGAAATAGAAATTATAAGTAATGTGCTGAAATTTGAGATGAAGTGGCAGCAAATAGAACCTTAAATTACTTTCACTTTTAATTCAGAAAGTATTTCAAGAGTTTCAAATAATACATTATATTGAAGATAATAAAAGTAAATCAATTCACACACTCTTAAAGTTAGTTTAGAAAGTTACTTCGTCGTTTCATAATTCGCAAACTCTAGAAGAATTTTTATAAATTTTTGCAATACTTTTCACAATTATCAGTATCGTTTGTTCCTATCAAATCGGTAAATGAACAATTCGCAGGTTATCGACCAGGAACACCCAATCAAATCGTTGATGGTATAACAAAGGATGTGACAAGGTGTCGAGATGTGGCACCGGACTGCAACCAGTCACTGTGCAACCACCGGACTTACCGGCGACTCATGCAGACCGTCTGCAAGAGGACCTGCTCGTCGTGTCACCTGGTTGACACTTAAAAGTGTGATACTTTCTGAGTTTCAAGCTACAAAACTGAAGGACTGGAAAATCTCAAAATTTAGCATTGAGAAGTAAAGTAATTAACCAAGCAAATTCAACTAATAATTGCATTTTATCTGAACTACGACAATGCGAAGAGGACGGACGAATAAAAAAATTAGTTCATGATTTTTTAATTATTGTTTGATTGATAACATGTTGCTCGAATTTATACTTTCTGCATTTAGAATTTCATAAATGGAAGTGCTTAAATATTGAATTCAATGTTGACATCTAAAAATTTAAATCCTCTTCTTCTAAGACATTCCTCAAAGGCTAACTTTTTCCATCCAGCTGAATTCAAAACATTTCAAAGAAATTTTAAAGAAGGAATTTACTATCATAGCAACATATAAAATATCAAAATAACAAGAAAAGAGAAATGCCTGCATATCTCAGTTCAAAGAAAAAATAGCAAAATTAATCAAACATTGATTTATGATTTTTATAGAAATTTGGAAAAAAAAAAAGAAAAGGAAGGACCGATATTTCCCCACGAGAGGATGATCAACTGATATAAGCAATAACTATAAAATGCACATATCGTTGCCTTGTAGAAAAAGATTGCTCGTTGTTTGTGGAAATGACACAAGCCATATCACATTTAAAACATTTAAAACAAAATAAAGAATTTTTAATGTTTCTCAAAAATATTCTCTCTCTCTCTCCCCAATTATCTTTCCCTTAATATAACACTTGTAGAACGGATTGTAACGTAATAAATGCTAATACTAAATTTTCTTTACATTTCCTCTTTCAACTTTAGTTTTTATTAATCTAAAAGAAAAACAAATAAAAAATTGAGATTTATTGACATAAGGTACTCACATATATGAGATATACAGAAAGAAACGAGTGGCAAAAAGACGGTGATAAGGATAATGATGATTATGATGATAATGATGGTGATGATGATAATGATGGTGATGATGATAATGATGGTGGATGATGATGATGATGTGATGATGATGATGTGATGATGATGATGTGATGATGATGGTGGTGGTGGTGACTTAGCAGCAATGAATGTAATAAAGGTAAAATTTAAAGAAAGCTTTAAAAAAGGCTGAAAGTTGTGGCAGTTTGCCAGAAGAAAATTGAACTTTCATACATTAATTTTCAAAATTTCAATCAATAAAAGAACATTAATGAGAAGAAAGAAACAAATTTTGTATGTGTTCCCTTCAGGAAGAGATGTGAAGAGCAGACTTGTGTGGATGGAATAACTCAGATAAGATAGATTTGATATCTTCGAATATGAATCATTTAATAGAATTCAATCAATACAACAGAAAGTTATGCATACTTTAAAATCATAATCAAAACGAAAAAAAAAAAAAAGAATTTTTTAAGTGGGCAGAATGAAGAACTTCGAGGCACACATAAGTAAGCAAATATTGACGTATCAGTAACAGAAAGTTAGATAAAAACATATATTTCTAAATACTACTAAAAAATTAAACAATTCCAAATTTTATAAAACAGGAATTGATTTCCGGATCGTTATTTTCGTCATTATTTTTTATTGCTGAATGGCAGTGATTCAAGAAAAGAACTGAAAGAAAGGAAATGCTATGATCACTGTCTTCCCATTATTTTAATCCAATTCGTTATTATAACCTAGGATTGGTTGCTGTTGTGACATATTTTCGTTGTAACCAACATTTGTTTGTCGCTTCTTTCGTCTGCAAGTGACACACACATGAACAAATTTCAATGCAGCACTCACTCACCTGGCTTACCTAGCTTACCTGGCTATCTATCTGTAGCTGTAGAGGTAGTATGATAGTTCTCTTCTGTTTTCACTAATACTTATTACAATAGTCAATGAATAAAGAATGTCTGACTTATATAGAAGTGTAAACAAAGTAAAAGAAATAAAAATTTACCTTTCGCGTTTTTCCACATTGTACGTTTTGTAGCGATTGAAAGCTGAACATGCATAAATGATGATGAATAACAATAACAATATGATAATGATAACTATAAGTGGATAAATCCATCTATACGAGCCTAGAAAATTAGAATTTAATCAGCACAAATAAGCTACAATAATATTTCATCAATGTTTACTTTGAAATTTGAAATGATAAACTGTTAAACTACAGCAAACATCAAGATTGCAAATACGAATTGCTCAGAATCCAATAAAACTATCTCTTTTACCGATTTCCATATTAAAAATGAATTTTTTAGTGTAATCTAGCATTGAAGTATTCTTCTGAAATAAATTCTTATTAGTGTCGCAAAATAAAAAAGTGAAATAGTTGCAAACAGTTAAATTTTAAAAGTGAAAAGTTGGCGTAGATGAATACTACATTTGATAGTTTATGTTCACAGTACTGCACTACTATCTTGGTTTGCGGTAGAAAGGAGAATTTTTACAGATTAACAAAGCGAAGAAATCAACAAATAGATTTTTTCCTAACTACTATTTCATCTCTTCTAAAACAAAACAGATTACCGGATATACAGATTACCGGAGACGGATGATGTAACACGTTTATTTTCAGAATTAGCCAATGATATGTTAACTTTCTAGGAATGCTTAGCTGTGTCTTTTTAAATTGAACTTCAACATAAAAAAGATTTGATAAAAACCAGGTTCGATTCCTTTCTCTGAACAACACAAACAATGTCGTTAACTACCTACAAATTTGGAACATTGGAAAAAGATACATTAATTTTTCAGTTTTCCCACTTTGCTTCTCTCTTGCTGCCATAAAAGTTGAGGACTTCATCTTCTGATATATATTTTAGGTTTCGACTGACTTACTGCACGCATTAATGACAAATATTTGGAAGTTATTACCATACAACTTCATTTTTGGAATAACTAACAAAAAGCAACTAAGTGATATTTCGAAAAGAAGGCGATTTTTAAAGATCTAAATTCCCCATAGAATTATTTTAAAAATAAGTTAAGAAATTACTTCCTCAAATTATTTTCTTTCTTTCTATGCTATAATTTAGAGTTGCTAAATCAATCCTCTCATTCCTTACTTTCAACAAATTTTTAATCTTTTTTCATGTCATTCTTCCTTTACATCAAATTTCGCCAATCAAATATTTTTAATTTACATAAGTGATGTAGGAAGATTTGAGGGAATACAGTTAAGAACTTACTTTATTCTCGTTGACTTTAAGGAAATAAATTAGCCTCAATGCTTGAATTACTAAACTAAGAGCGCACAAAAAAAAACTTACTTTTCACCTTAAGTTCACGATCCAACCGTGACTCCCATAGGATATTTTTGCCATCAATAAATATGGAAAATGAATTTTGCGCGACACATGAATAAACTCCTTCATCATCAAATTCCACTTTTGCAATTTGCAAATCCCTCTCTAAGAAGGTTATTTGCTCCGTCGATGCTATAACAATTTGCACTCCAATGGGTAAAAAGTTGTAAGTAATTAAAAATTCTTTTAACAAATGCATTTAATCTGTCAGAACTATAAAGTTAAATTGTTTTTTCTTTTTTTCAGACTACTGAAATGTTTGTTTCTGATCAACTTAAAAACCAGTTTTTCATTTCTGATTGTGGCAATCACCGGTAAATTCTGACTGATATCTACGACCATATAACTCACCAACAGGTATATCATTTTTATACCACTGAATAGTTGGTTCCGGAAAGCCTCGTACTGGACAACTCAGCGTTACTGTTTCGCCTTCCGTTACCCTTAGAACTGAAGCTCTAACACGGAAATGATTGTCACCCACTGCATCCAATATTTTCGAGTGATTCACATGAAAGATTGGGCGCACTGTAATGTGACACACATGAAATTATTACCAAGCAGTAACATTTGTAAATCTCTTTTAATGCTTTATTAAAAACACCAAAGTGGGACAGAAAGTTTTATCGAATCTTTCCTTTCTGTGAAAACTTTTGAGAAGCACTAAATTGTTCCAACAAAAAACTAACTAACTATTTACAAATAACCATCCCCACACTAATTCATTTTCTTCGGTGGTAATTTCACAGCGATATCTTCCAGCACTCAAAACTGATGTATTGCCAAATTCTAAAATTGCCCGTGTCTGATTGTTAATAAGCGCTGGGAAAACTTCCTTGTCTAGATCTCTTATAAAGTGAGCTTCTTTGATAGGTATTAATTGTTGAGTTTGATTGGACATTGCTTGACACCTAAAAGCAGTTATTCAGTGAAAATATTTAGATGTTGCACATTTCAAGAATAAAATCAAACTTTTATTTCATTCAATTTTATCCTTAAAGGAATGGATCCTGATCAGTTGACAACATTCCCTTTCTAATGAAACTGAAATAGGCAAAAAGCAAAAAATTCCAAAGTTTTATTTTTATGGAAAATCACAGAAATAGTTTTTGTGTATAATTTTAATTACAGATCTGCAATAATTATTGGCAACATAAAAATTATCCGATGAAATAAGTAGAAAAATTTCAATCTACCATAAATTGGGTACATTGGCCTTGAGAGGATGGTCATCACTGGATTTCGCCGAAGTAGCATTGAAAAATACTGCCAAATTACCCTGCGCAAAGCTATTACTACCAGCAAAGATTGCATTGCACCAGTGACCTATCAAGCGACAATTATTTATGGAAATGAGAATCAATCAAGAGTTATTGTTGATGATAAATTCGTCAACAAAATCATGTCTTTATAACCAGTAGTAAACATATGCTAAAATTGTTGATAACAATTCTGCTACATTTTACTTTTATATGTACCGCTTGCGAACTACAAGCCAAGCAAATAAACTCTCGAATATTCCCGATACTTCTTCTATAGAAATGGAATGTTGTACACTGTTAAGCATAATGTGATAGAGCATGCTACACAAATATTATCAACTCTCGGGAATTCTTGGCATTTATTAATTTAAATTATTTGTTAATAAAGATTAAGAAAAGAATAAGAAACTCACCGAAGAAAATGACTAAGGTAGGTAAAATTGATGGCATTTGTTCGATATACAATCGTTGTTTTCTTTTTGCAGAAAAACTTGAAGTAGAGATGAGAAGTGATAAGAAAGTGAAGGAAGAAGGAAGTAAGGAACAGAGTCGTCCTCTATTCGTTTATATATATCCACTTAATTGAGGAGAAGTATAGCGAAATTTGAAATGAAATGCGGCAGAACATTGAGTAGTCCACTTCGACGTACACCCAAAAATATTATTTATTCTTTCTGAAAAGTTTTTCCTTTTCCAAAAAATCAGGCATAATCATGAAATGAACATTTAGAATCCAATTTAATCCATAAAAAACTGTCTCTCTCTGTGTGTGTGTCCCATCAAAGTGGACATTGAAATGCGACGAGAGCGTCAAAAGCGCATACTTTTATGGAACAGAAATGATGCGGAATCAACGAACGTTAATGACATTAGCAATCGATCAGAGAGGAAATATTCTTAGTACACTGCAAGCCTTACTTACTGTGACATGCCAATATTGCGACATATTTTGACATAAATTCGAATTTAACCTCAAGCAAAAGAACCGGATTTAATTCCGGTCTCTCTAGAAGAAAGATGGGAACAGAGAATGCTTCTCCTAGATCGATGATCTGTCCGTCGCAGAGTTATTAACAAGTTTCAACCTGTAAGTTTCATTCGACGTGTCAAGAAATTAGATGGCAGAGAATTCCCTCTAGAACATAAATTGTATTAAATTTCTTAAACTTCTACAATTTTTTTGAAATGACCAGGAAGAATACACTTCTCCTAATGAACTACCATATACTTCACTGAATCACAACTTTGGAGAAGGTAAGATACGGAAATTATTCCAAAACAGTTAAAAACCACGGAAATAGCTGCGAGAAATATTTGATGCAAATAAAAGCAATGAAGAAAGTCCCTTCCATCGGAAAAAAAAGAAAGAAAAAACTAATCGTTTTAATTTCCAACAAGGAACGAGAAATAAATGAAAAAAAAAAAGGAAAAAACAGAAATACGATCTGTGCCGGAAATGCCAGAAGTGTAGCAATCATTTTTATCAAAATTATCCACTATAATCAAAATTATTCCGTTGATAATACTATCTACATTTGCACATTTGAACACAACTACTTTGTATATTTTACTATTGTCATTTAAGATTTAAGAGAGAAAAACAGAAGAAACTAATGACCGGAAGAGATTGAGTAATAAAATAAAAAGTCATAAAATGGAAAGAAAATTATTAGCTTTCTCAAGAATTAAATGAAATGAATATATTGCAGTTTCTTTATAAGAAAAATCATACTAAGAAATATATAAAATAATTGTTGAACATAAAATCTAATTCAAATTATTTAAAGTCAAATTTAAAAAGACGAGAACTGACCACTGGGATAAATGCGTGTTAACACGGACAATGCAAACTATTTCCGAAATAAAGTATACGTGAGATTAAGGAATTGCAATGTTTGTCGCTTGGACGAGTACGTACGTACGAATGATGCGGTATCAGTTACGTTTCTAAGCATATGTTGATAAAAGCTTAAGCGTATAAAGCGTACGAGTAATCACCAAATCAAGCCTCTGTTTCCAGTTCTTCTGTCTGCCATTCATTTCTTAATTTTGAAGAATTTGAATTTAATTAGAAATAATCAAAAGCCTATGAAAGTCCTCAAACATTACATCTGTTTACTCCTTCCATAAACAATAAGCAGTATTAAAATGTGATAAACAATGATAAGCACTTGTGATATGTCCTGTGAATGAAGAGATTACAGCAAGGTGAGTGCGACAAAAGGACAGTACCAAAAGATGGGTAGCATTCGTTAGACAATGGGCAGCTAGCATTCTTCTCCCGTTCTAACAGATGTCCTAGATTTACCCGAGACTTAGAGTTACACGCGAATGAATAGATAGATTATCAAGATGTAACAGAGAGGAATGAGACATTTCACTCCCAAAAGGCAATATTATTTGTTTAGTTACTTGACGCGAATGTACTCTCTCTACATAACTTACTTATCTCTCTCTACATAACTTACTTATCTCTCTCTCATAACTTACTTATCTACTAAGTAATATAACAAGTATGCACACACAATAACTAGAAAAAAAACATTCGACAAAAGTATTATTTGATTAATAGTTACATACAAAGAGTCAGTCAGTGGATGAAGAAAGGTAGAAGGTAAGGCGACAAGGGCAAACAGTGGAAGTTTCGGCGTTAAGGGTAAAGGCAAAATGAGAGATCTTTCCTGCAGGAAACAGCGGGGCAAACATATTTGCATCTGATTACATCAACGACGCAAGCAAGCAAATTCCGCAAAAATCAAACCATTCCCGTTTGAATGACAGAAATTTCAAATATATCGGCATTGGCTGCGGACCGGATCCGTGCTCAGTACTGCATCGGATCAGTGCTTCATAATTCGGTGAATGAGATATGAGCCGGAATGAGTTATGCAGTATATGTACTATGAACACGACAAGTATGGGAATGCTGTCACACGCGATGACAACGAGACGAAAAAATTGTTTATCCACACACTCACACTTTCTTGTCTCACCTTTGACATTAACAAATACAGGGAGAAAGAGAGAAAGAGAGAGAGAGAGAGAAAAAAGAAAGAAATCAACAATTCCTCTGTTAATTTTTCGTATTATTCATTAATCTAGAAATAAATGAATCATGGAATTAGTTTCTTCTTGTTTATAGTTTTAAAATTTGACTGACCTCTTACTTACATGAATGCAAGTATTCAGTAAGGACGGAGTAAACCGAGTAAGAGCGATTCGAAACGGAATAACGGATAATTATTCCGTAGGAATGTGTTTGTGTCCATGAACGAACACACGTCGGATATCCGTGACTGACTGTGGTAAGGAATGCCGGAAGGGATGAAAGTAGTTGTCGCGTACGTTAACCTGAGGACAGCTGCTTATAGGCCAATTTTCTTCCCTCTTTTGTTATTTTCACTCAGAGATGAAATGCCAGAAATGTCGAATAGTGCCAAGAATTGCTGGAAGAGAGCGCATTTCACGGACAGTTCTACTCTCCACGTGGATGAGAAGAAAAGGATGGAAAGTTACGGAAAGATATGCAAATTGGATATCGAATTACAAGGAGAGATCTGTTCAGCTAACAAGAAATCGTGTATTGATCAGATTAGACTGAGACCGAATGAGCCGAATAGTCCGAGCTCGTATTTAATTCCCTTATCACAAAGCAATAACATTTGTGATAACAGTGAAAAGATAAAAGGACAAAGAGACAAACAAACGTAGCTGGAGAGTAAGTCTGAAACAAGAAATCTTTATGGCATCTAAATCAGTAAAGCTATATTTGAGTAGATTACCTTGATAACACTACATTTATGTATTATCCAAATTAAAATTTAATTATTTACAATCGTACAGGTCAGATGGGTAGAGAGCCTTTTGAATTTAAAACAATGACAAAATAAGCTGAAAAAGAGAAAAGAGTTGTTTACCGCATTCATTCAAACAGTTCTTTTTCATTTTCAGTTATTAAATTCTAAAATAATATGTGAATAATCCTTCTTAATCGATTACGCATATATACGAATTATTTCATAGAAATGAAATGTCCCTTGCATGCACCCTTTCAGATGAGAAGAATCGAATGAAATGATTTAAGCTGAAATGAATAATCATTTGTGATGTGCACATTCCACATGTTTTCCTTTATTTTCTAAGAAAATTTCAATTTTAAACTCGAAATTTTTATAACGAATGAAAAATTGTGTGATTAGCGATGACGAAGTTCGCTGAATAAGCAAATGATCGATCTGTGAATGCACAGATGTATGTACGTAAATATGTGATATCTCATATGACATAAAAGCTACTGATTATTCAATTAACAACAATCAGTTGATTTGATTACCTGGCTGATAAGGAAAACAGGTACGACTACACTGTGAAGTTTGTTTCAGGTACGGATTTTTTTATGGAATGATAATAAAATCATTACGATCCTGCAAATCTAATCAAAAAGAATGACAAAATCTTCTATCAGTAATTATCTTTGCGGAAGGAGGAGAAAAAAGGAAGATTTAGTTTAATCGATAACGAATATAAAAAAGTGAACTTATGGTTTCATGATTTTTATAAATTTATGCGACTCTAGAATTAAGGAATAATTCAAAAGTTTAGAAATTAAACAGCAAAAAGTCAAACAAATCCGTCTATCATTCTAATTAAGACGATATAATTAGTGCATGAATAATTAATAGCAATGTATGAGTGAAGTGGGAAAGGTATATGGGCAGAAGATATAAAGGTATATGGGCAGAAGATATAAAGGTATATGGGCAGAAGATATAAAGGTATATGGGCAGAAGATATAAAGGTATATGGGCAGAAGAATTTTTAATTATTTCACTGATAGCTTTCCAAAATTTCAAATTACGAATAAGCAAAAGAAAGGATAAGTAGATTTGATGGAACTGTTTTCAGGATAGAATTGGAAGCAAAGCTATGCAAATGAATGAAATCATTGCAAATTATTGCGATATGTCAATGAAATGCTTCTTTGTCACGGAGAGAATTTAATGAAATTTTTTGGGAGGAGGGAGAGAGGAGACAAGGAGAAGGTGAGGGAGAGAAAGAAAGAAAAGAGAAATTCATTAGATTAGAATTTCTTCTCATAAATAACACGAGATGAAAAGATGACTGAGAAGAAAAGTGAAATGGGAAGAAAAAAAGAAACGAAGAGAGAATATATTGTATAAAACAAAAATTTTAGCTAAAAAATTGAGAGGAAAGATTGTCACACCGATTGACATGTATGTGGCTTGTGCAATAGTTCATAGCACAAAGTAATCAGTGAAATGTTGTGAAGAAAAAGAGAAAGAGAATTAATTCAGGTGGTAAATACCCGCTATTTATTTCTTCTTTTTCCCACACCGACGAGAATCTAACAATTCGAGAATTTGTGGAATAGCTCATGGCACAAAGTAACTAGTATGTTATTTAAAAAGTTGCAAGACATAGCAGGCATT